TATCCTACTTAATAGCCCAGATAAGAAAAAAAGTTCACATCCTGGGGAGCACCTCCCAGACGCCACCTACGAACGGTATATGTACCTAAACATCGAACTAGATAACCCAGATTTAAAAAAAGCTTCACTTCCTGGGGAGTACTTCCTAGATTCCATCAGCGGTTGGTCCACATACCAAGACATCAAACTCAATAAACCACATGTAGAAAAAATACTAACTTTGTCGGGCGAGCTTTCAATACAGTGGGTCAAGGGACAGTGTGGCGGATAGGGTCATGCGGTGCTGTTTGGCTCCACCATTTTCAGCACCTCACACTATTTTTCAGTGTGTATAGATATTGGGTTCTGTGCTTAGATCATTGCAGGGCCTCTTCTATAATTGCGCAGCCCCTACGCACTTGCGCAGTGCAGCAAAAGGGCGATTGTAGAATGGCATTGTGGAGTGGTATGATGTGGAACGTTATTTGCCATTTCAAATTGACCACCACTGACATGTACTATAAATGGCGGCTATCCACCGCACTGTCCCTCGACCCACTGTATACAGCTATAGCTTACAAGATGCTGCCACGCCATTTGCAGTTTTGTACGCTAGCTATAATTACCTATTTTTATTTCGGTTTGAGTTTTTCTAGCATCAGTTAAGTAGCAGCATTGCCCATTGCGTATACACTTTTATTTGTTCAGCTCAATTTCAGCAGATTTTTCGGCTGAACTCCCGATTCAGCTCATTGTCCTAGGATGAATGCATTGTGCGAAAAGTTAGTGTTATTGTAAAAACAATTTTTCGACTTTGGTACAAACCTCTCATTGAGGTAAAATTGGTTTGCATTTCATGTGAAAGTTAAACGTATAAATAGAATAAAGATGCATTTTATGTCGGCAAAATAATACATTTACTCTTTTCACTACAAATCAAATGCAGTAAAAGTGCATGTAGTTTACATAAGAATAATTACAGCAATCAGAAATTTTTTAAAAATCAGTCATAAAAAATGATAACTCTAAATATAGCAATGCGTTATATTGGTAGTGAAGGTTTAAATTTGTTCGTTTTTTGTAAGCGAAAATACCACGATAAATAAAAAAAAAAGTGATCCACAGGGAATCGAACCCACGATTTTGGCGACCAAAGGCTTATTCCGTACCACAGCTCTGGAGACTTTGAATTTACTTGGACATGAAACTACATACGTTCATTGGCTGACCGCGGTTCAAATGTTACTTTTTTTTGCCTATTTTAATTAGAGTAAACAATGACTTAAATTTTTTTAACTTTTCTAATGAAATATTTTTTAAGAAAACTAATTTATAAACTCTGTTATGCAGACTCATATAGTTAAGCAGGACAGTATGATATTTTAGTCAAATTTTCAGTAATTTATTTACTATTAGTCATTCATATTGTTACGTCGGCGCAACGTATTATTCGAGTCTAAGCTTTCGCTAAATAACTCGGGACTCGCACTGGGCGCGTAGATGGTACGCGGGGCCAAAAGATAGTTATATTTCTTGTCTGAGTATTGGAAAGGGGGTGAGGACGGCCATTTTGATTAAATCGATGCAGTTGTCGAGCAATAATGCGATGCAATCGTTCGCGGCGCGCCTTGGATTTATCGAGAATGCGTCGAATAGTATCCCGTTCGCGATCTAGAGGTTACCAGTACCATAACGAGCAAAGGTAGTTACACTCGTGAGGTTACGCAAGGGGGTAAAATGGTTTAAGTTCGCGACCGGTCTAGGATCCACCAGTACCTTCCAGAGTAAATGTGATTGCCTTAGACTTTACGTGAGAAATAATTCTTTTATTTAATCTCGTAGCGTGGTATTTTACCGATACCGAATTTCGAACTCTAAAAAAAAACACGTCCACGTTGAAACTGAGAGGAAAAAAAAGACTTGTCACTTTAGTATTTAAATTTGACTTACTTTTATTTTCGGTATAAAACGTACAGCGAACCGAACCAGCGCGAAGTGTCCGAGATCGAAGATTTAAAACCGCACTCGTGGAGGACCGTGAGATAGCAGAGGCGGACTCTAACTATCTAGTCAACCGTTCGAAGGTGAAATTGAACTGTAACTGTTCCTCACTGTGGAAGGAGCTATTGTTGACTGTTGGCTCAACTTTCCCGCTTTCCTTTACATATTGAAGAGTAGCAACATTTGTCCGGATTAAAAAATTAGGTTTTTGCGAATGGTATGAAAATTCTATGGTGTAAGAGGGTAGCTTGGCAACTCATGTATCAAAAACGAGCGAAAAACTAATGATGTCGCTTTGTTAGGTTTACAGTAGTTAACATTATTACTCATACTTTGGTTGCTTATCAACTATACATTAACTCTATCTTAGTTTACTTGTCTTAGTTCTTATCTACCGGCGCAACTGTTCCTAGCTAACCTTATGAATCTGTTAGTTCTTTAAAGTTATTTTATTATTTTACGCTTTTAAAAGTATTTCATTTTATTTCTTTTCTGGTCAGCATGGGCCAGCGTGCATGTATGTGAGTCATGCATGGTCGAAGTACCTTGGCTACGAGCAATCTTGTAGGCGATTCACCTCTTTTCAGATGCACATTGGCCCCTGCGTTTAGTGTTCTAAAATCGGCACGGAAAGTTTTGAAGCAAGGGGAAAAAAAAACTTATGTGGATACACCGATGTTACAGTATGTATGTTCTTAAAAAGTCAGTGATAAATGTTTCGTGCAGAAATTTTTTTTTCAAGTTACTATACGTAAAATAGACTATTTTTAAAAGTTCATCATAAATAACAAGATTTGAGTTGTCACAAAAAAGCACCGGAATGATTTTTATTTTCATTGACTCAAATGTCTAAAACATTTAAAATGTTAATTAGAGCAAAAAAAAAGTGTTTCTATGGCTGAAGCTTCGACTGTTCACTTCAAAAGCAATATCTTAGATGATTTTAAACTATTTCACATTTTATGCACTCGCTATATTTTTTCCATAAATTGTTGATTTATAGTTTTTATGTCAAATACTTCCTCTTAAAGATAGAAATGATGTGCTTGCTGCAATTTGGCAACGTTACAATAGTCAAAGAATTCTTTTCAAACACTGTTGGAACTGTTTTTAGTGGACATAACCTGATACATTTGCAAAAACATAATACATTCCTTATGTGTTCTATCTGAATTCAGAAAAAAATTAATTAAGAAAACTATTAGACGCCAAAAAACTTTTAATAAATTCTTANTATTTACTATTAGGTTAGTAATAAATATTTCTTGAGAAATTTTTTTTATAAATTACCATGCGTAAAACGGACAAATCGTAAAAGTTTATCATGAACGGAAAGATATGAGTTATTCCGTAAAAGCAACGAAGTGTTAATTTCGTTAAATTAAATATCCAACACATTTTAAATGTCCGTTAGAACTAAAAAAAGTGACTGAAGCTTCGACTGCTAACTCCAAAAGCCGTAACTTAGATGATGATTGTTCTAAACTAACTTAATACTTTACACTAGTAGTAAAGAAATTCGATGCACCAATAGACTTTTTTCTTGTAATCCTTAATTATTTATTGTACTCTTAAAATAAAATGGAATGTGTCTTGGCCTACACTCAATATGTTTGTCTATCAATTGTTGATTTCTATTTTGTTTGTCAAACACTTGCTTTCAAATGTTAAAATGATTTGATTGCTGCAATTTAAAAACGTTGCAGTAGTCAAAGAATTCTTTAAGAACACTTTAGGAACTTTTTTTCAGATGAATAAACGCCCAAAGCCAAGCTGAGGGCGGTTAATGTGAAATCTAGGGCATTTTTAACCTCTGAACGTGGTGCATAATTATACGATTTCAAGTCTCCTCGTGCTTGGTAAGTAAAAAATCCCGCCCGCGTACTTAGAGGACGGTAATTTTCACTTACAGAACCAGTTCGTCGAGGGACAGTGTGGCAGATAGCTACCATGTTTAAGTAATTTCACTATGTATAAAAATACTACTACTGACTATGTATTACGCTGTATACAGACAATTCACTATATATATGTACAGATTTAAGCATTATAAACTATATCTTTACGTAGTGAAATGACGTAGGCTGCAGTCACATGAAGCGCAATAGAGCGAGCAGGATATAGGGTGTAATCCGCAATCGCCGCCAGCAGTTACATATGTAAAACGAGACAACGTTGCGTGGTTGGGGGAGCTACTGTCGATTTACTGGTGATGTGATCCGCAATCCCGCCAGCAGTAAAGCAGACGACGTCGGTCTACTTGCTCTTTTTCGTCTCAGCCGCTTATAGAGAAATTTCTATCCTGCTCACTCTATTGCGCTCCCATGTGAACATAAGCTTAAACATGGCGCAGCCAATCAGGATCGCATATCACTATCCGCCACACTGTCCCTCGACCCACTGTTCTTATAAAGTTACCAGTAACGTGTATCAATAAATGATAAATTTTTTCTAAATTTTGAAAAAATTCGTTACCAATACCATTAGAACTTAAAAAACTTATATTTGATTATAATTGAATTCTTATACACGTATTCATTTAGAACACTTTTCGTTGAATTCTTTTTGAAAACAAGATGATTTTTAATGCCCTACGGGCAAGCTTACACTTGTGAATTAATGTAACTACTTGTAATTGATAATAAACTAACATATAAATTGATGTTTATTCTGATAACTGTACCAAAATATTGTAAGTAACTGAATCTTGATAGTAATTAATAATTCTAAGTACAATTATTATTTTAATGTTGCTTTATACTTGGTTCTGTACATTGTACAATTATAGGCCAATAAATAATAAACAGTTAGTCAAATACCACAATACACCTGCAATTTTTCAGATGTATAATTTTAAATAAAAGAATTATTCATGTAGTCAATACTTCTATTCATAACAATAATAAAGATGCTGAAAATATGTTGTATACTTTAAAATATAACTGACACACAATCACACTACTGTATACTAACATAAAGACATCAGACTAATTAAAAAAAAGCATTGAAATATTTCATACCCATCAAAATTGGAACTGGTGCAATCAAATACATTATCCTTGTTATTCTTCATTCTTAGAAATTCATCACAATTTTCGCATCCGTCGAGTTCGAATTGGTCAAACGTCTAAAAAAGCAATAGAAAATTAATATTCGTTAACTGCTTTGAAAAATTCATTAAACGGGAATTTATAGTCTTAAAATTATGATAAAAGAATTGTTCTACCTCTTAATTGTATTTATTAGTGTGTAATAAACGTAGTTGGAACTAACTTAATGACATAGTAGTATTACGTGAAATATCCTGAAGAAAAAAATTAAATCAACTAACCTTAATTATTGAACAAACTAAGCACGCTCTTAAACCATGGAGATCTTTCGGCACTGTTTCCATTTTTGATTTTACAGAAGAAATACTTATAACCCGACACTCACATTTCCGAACCAGGGGCCCGGTTTATCTGAAATGCATGTCCAATATAGTGATGTTTACAACGTATTCAGCTTAATCTTCTTCTTCTTGGGGGGGGGTTTGTGGCTCCAGTGAGGCTACTTTTGTGTTAGTAGCGCAGTCCGAACGGCCATTAACAAAACTTATTATCGTCTGCTTGCTCGGTGAAGTGCGGCATGGTGAAAGAATTTTGAAGTATTAGGTTTGTTCGATTAGGGAGTCCAGAGCATCCCGAGCAACCCCGGGCCGCCGGGACGCACGACCGCACCTACAGCTTTGGCCGCAAGTGCAGATACGCGCCCCAGCGGTACCCGGGCCGCCCGAAGTGCTCCGGGCATCTCAAATGGGTAAATACATTGGGGGGGGGGGTAGAAGTGTAAACGTGAAGAATTATAGGGTAGTTAAGAGTAATACGATAGAATGGTGATGATTTCTAGTAGGTGAGAATGTTTGTAGAGAATTAGAGAAAAATTTCGCAGTCACGTAAAAAGTTATGTAGGATTTTTATGAGTTTTACTGAGGGGGAGGAGAGAAAAGAGTTGATCGTGAATGGGGGGAAGAGTTTGAATTTGGAGAGCGATTTTAGAAGGGTGCTTCGCTGCACGTTGAAACGTTCGCATGACCAGAATACATGGTTGAGGTCTTCTACGTCATTTCCGCATTGACATAAGGGGTTGGCGATTAGGTTTTTGCGATGAAGGCTGAATGCGAGGTTGTAATGATTGGAGCGCATTCTGCTAAAGGAAGTGACTTGGTCTCTTGTGAGTGGGAGGGAATGGAACCAGGGTTTAGAGGAGGTTTTGAAGCATGTATTGATGTAGAAGAGGCCTTTGCCGGAAGTGTCTTCTTCTATGAGTTGTGCGAATTTGAGGGATATTTCAGAGTTGAAAAGGGCTTGGATGTCAGAGTAGGGAAGGGGGTAATTGATATGTGTACCGCTAGATATTGCGTCCTTTGCGAGTTGGTCTACTATTTCGTTCCCTGGGATTCCCTTATGACTAGGGATCCAGGCGAGGATTACAGATTTATTGGCCAAGCTAAGCTCCAGAAGAGCTTTCTTGATTCTGTGGATCGTTACATGATGTGTTACATTGAGGGGAGAGGTATCAGCTATGGATTCTAAAGAGCTACGTGAGTCTGAGAAGATAATTGAGTGGCTTATGTCGTTTTCTATTATATATTCTAGGGTGAGGTAGATAGCTAGGGCTTCTGCGGTGAAGATGGATGCATGGGGGGAGATGCGACCTTTGAAGGTGTGGCCATTGGGAGGGGGGCAGTAGAAAGCAAGACCAGTGTAAGTGTACTGGTCTGTTTTGGAGCCGTCTGTAAAGAAAGGTGTGTGAGTGGATAGCTGAGAACTGAAAAGGTCTAAGAACTCAGTTTTTGGATCTTGGGCAGTGGTGAGAGTGGCTCCTGTTGAAAGCATGATGTTTGGGTTGAGTTGTTGGCTGTCCATGGAAAAGAAAAAGCAGGGAGGTACTGAGCTGGAGAAAATGTTATTTTGATGGGGTGAAAGCTTGAAGAGTGCTATGACAAGGGGGTGAGAGAGGAATCTGGAACCTTCAGGAGTTGAAGTGTTTTGGGAAAGATGTTGGATCGACTGGATGGCAGGATGATTGGTGAAGGAGAGGCTTTTGGAGATGTAGTTCATTGCTAATTTTTCTTGCCTGAGTGGTAGGGGTAGGATTTTCGATTCGGCATATACTACTCTGTTGGGAGTTGAGTTGCGGAGACCGAGGGCTGCTCTAATAGACTGTCTTTGAATGACACCGAGTTTGTGCATGAAGGTGCTGTTGCGGGGAAGGATGCAGGGCAGGGCATAATCAATGGAGCCTTGTAGTAGGGCGTTGTGTATATTGAGGAGGGTTGATGGATGGGCGCCCCACCAAGTTGTGCGGAGGGAGCGGATGAGATTAACGGTGGTGGCACTCTTGAGAGATAGGTGGTTTAATTGTTCGGACCATGACAACGTGCTGTCCAAATGTATGCCAAGGAATTTAGCTGAGTTTGAGACTGGGATAAGGGTGCCTTCGAGGTTTAAGGAGTACTGGGATGTGTCTATTGCGTTTTCAGTGAAGATGACTAATTTAGATTTGGGGAGGGCGATGGAGAGGCCTTGTTTGTTGAGGTATGAGATAGTCTTGGGGGTGTTGGATTCTATAATGGCTAAGCTAAGTTCTGGGTCGTCTGAGGAGGCGAAGATGACTATGTCGTCTGCAAAGCTGATGCATTTGCACGTGGGGTCTAGGTATTTAGCAATGTCTTTTGTGCCGAGGTTATAGAGTGCGGGGCTGGAGATGCAGCCCTGGGGAAGACCTTGGTAGGAAGAGTAGGGGCCTAGCAGCTCACCGTTCACTTTGAAGGAGATTTTTCTTGAGGAGGTAAGATTATAGAAGAAACGGCAAATATTTTCAGGAAGCCCAAGGTTCTTTAGATTTTGGATTAGGGAAATGGGGTCAATGCAGTCAAAGGCACTTTTTACATCGAGGAAGAGGGCTGCAGTGTAGCCTTTCTGGGCGAAGCTTGAGTAGATGGACGAAGTGAGAATGGAAAGGTTGTCTAGGCAAGATTTGCCTTTGCGGAATCCGAATTGGTGAGATGGTAAGAGGTGGTGGTGTTCTATCCACCAGGACAGCCTGTTGTGGATGAGTCTTTCCAGGAGTTTCAGAGGGGACTGTGCTAGGGAGATGGGTCTGTACTTGTCGGAGAGACCTTTTGGGATGAAGAAAGTGAGGTATTCTTTCCAGGAGTCTGGGAAAGTGCCCTGTGAAAAGATTTCGTTAAAAATTTCGAGGAGGGATGTTCGGATGTTATGAGGTAACTTATTTATGATAATATTATCTATGCGGTCGAGGCCTGGGGCTGAGTTTATTTTGGTGCGGGTTTTTTTGATGGCAAAGTTCAATTCGGATTCGGTGAAGGGTTTGGAAAAGAAGTTTATAGTATCCTGTGTGGCTGAGAATGATGTGGGGAAGTTAGGAAAGAGGCATGAGCTGGGGCATAGTGTATCAATAAGATTTCTCATGGAGTCTACGTTCTTTAAGTTGCTAGGAGAGGATGAGGCTGAGAGGGCTTTGTGGCGAAATTTTTTGACGGTGTTCCAAATTAGGGAGGGGGGAGAGGATGGGGAGAGATTTTCGCAGAATTCCTTGAAGGATTCCGACTTTTGTTTTTTGAACGTTTTTTTGGCGAAGTTTTCTGCTTCAACAAGGGAGTCATAGAGGTTGGGGTTACGTCTGAAATTTCTAAGTGCGACTTTGCGAGCTTTGTCAGCTTTGGCACAGTCAGAGTTCCACCAGGGGGGGTGACTAGGTTTGTTTCTATGGGGACGGTTAGAAGGTGATGGGTTGGTGACTATGAGAGAGGCTGCCTCGAGGATTTTGGAGGTGAGGAAGTTATATTTGGCATTGGTGGATTGAGATGGAGCTTCCGTGAAACTGAATGATGCAAGGGTGGATTTAAACAGGGACCAATCTTCGGCGCTGGCTTTTCTAAAGTTAAATCTGTGGGAGTTTCGGGGAGAGGAAGTGAATGAGATGCCGAGGGTGGTAGAGATAGGATAGTGATCGCTCATGTAGTTATCACTTGCTACGCGCCAGTTGCTAATGGTGAGAAGCTGGGGGGATACAAAAGTAAGATCTATACATGATGTGTAGAGGGGGTTTGAGCGACTTCTATAGGTTGGGGACCCGTCATTGAGGAATACTAGGTTGTTGTTGTTAAAAGTAGAAAGAGTGCAGTCCCCGATGGGACATGATTGTGAGCTGCCCCAGGCTGGGTTGTGGCAGTTGAAGTCACCGCCTATGATGGTATGTGTGAGATTCGGTATGGAATTTAGTAGGGCAGTCCAGTAGTGGTTGTGGAATGGCCTTTGGGATCTTGATGGAGGTCTGTAAACTGCGACTACATGTATAGGGTGGTTTGGTGAGTCGATTGAGATAGCGAGGGATTCGAGGATTCTGTGTTTGTGGAATGAGTTGATAATTCTGAAGGGGATGTTGTTGCGAATACAGATTGCAACACCACCACCTTCTGCGTCTTGTCTGTCTTTTCTGATGATGGTGAAGTTCTTAAGGGATGGGTTGTGGTGGGGGGCGAGTCTGGTTTCAAGTAAGATGATAACGTCGTAGTCTTGGGAGAGGAGTTGTATGTGATTGCGTCTTTGGTAAAAGGATCCACAGTTCCACTGGAGGATACGAAGACTATTGTTAATGTTTGGGTGTGCAGCCATGGAGGGTTAGGGTGTAGTTTAGTTGGTCGAGAGACGATTTAATAGGAATGAGGGTGTGAGATTGACCGAGTATAGCAAGTAGAGGGTCGAGAAGGGTTGATATGAGTTCTCTGAGTGAAGCTACGACATGCGATAGGTTGTTCAGAGTTAGTTCGTTGTGCGGTAAATGAGAGTTGTGCTGGACAGCTGGTGGAGATAGTTTCTGGGGGTTTGAGGAGGATGATGATGCTATTGTTGCTGTATTGAGGTTGACGGGATGAGGTATGGATGGTGAGGGGGAGAGGCGCTTTGGAGATAGTTGGGTTGATGGGTGGAGAAGAGATGGATGTTTCAGATTGGCGGTGTGGGTGTCGGGTGTATGATTCCAGAGGGTGGCTATGCCGGGGTTGGGGGGGGAACCATGTTGTTTCTTGGATAGAGGGGTGGTTTCAGATGTGGAGGGTACAGGCGACATTGAAGGGGAGGTGGGATGAGACGTGAGAGGCGTTGTATCAGTTGAGGTGTGAGGGGATTTTGTGATTGAAGCATAGGAGTGGAGATGTAAGTTATTTAGAGGGTTTGAGGTAAGGGTAGGGGTCAGGGAAGGAAAGGAGTAGTGAGGTGTATGAGAGGAGGTAGTTGAAGAATTGGGTGAGGGAGAGGGAGAGGGGAAGAGATGTTGGTTGACATTGGGGGGGAGTTGGTTGGTCAGGAGATGAGACTTGACATTTGAGTGGCGACTTTGGTGGTTAGGGGGAAAGAATTTTCTTAGGTAGGAGCTTGCGTCAATGAGTGAGACGTTGTGGGTGGCAGCATGAAGGTGTATTTTTTGTTGGAAAATGTACTCAGGGCAGGCTTTATCTAGGGGGGTGTGGGAACCTTTGCAGTTAATGCAAGTAGGGGAGTTAGCACTGG